TCAGGCGCGTCTAGCGGCACTCCGTTCTCCACTAGGAACTGTACAACCTCCAGGTGGCCGTAGAAGGCCGCATAGTGCAACGCTGTCTGGTCATCGTGGTCAGTGGCGCTCCAGTCCACGCTGCCATGCGAGCCCATCCATTGCACCACGTCCAGTTGGCCAGACGCCGCCGCGCCATGCAGTGCTGAGCAGCCGTGCTGGAATACGTCATAAGAACAAAGGCACAGTCAGTTATGTATGATATGGTACAATGATCATCACTCTGACTCGCCTGGTTGCGGTAATTGACGTCGGCATGCAGTGCCTTGATGAGATGCTCAACCTCCAGCAGCTTCCCACGGTTAGCCTTGCAGATGAGAACGTCGCCCAGTGTATAGCTCTCCACGACAGGCGGGGCACTGGCCCCCAGTGGCAGCTGCAGCACGCGGTTCATCAACTCAAGAGCAGATTGGCGTCACGAATGCGGGTTCTTGGAGCTGCTCAACTGTGAATTGAGAGAGTGACAAACAGGCGGGACGACCATTTTGTGCGCCACACCACTCATCCATTCACAAAATGTTCACACAATGTTGCGCGAAGCAGCAGATGTTGCGCATTGAAGAACCATAACAGGAGTATTTAAAAATTGAAAATGACGAAATAGGAGTATAAAAGAAGCAGGAGGAGAAAACATCTTGCGTTTTGTAAGTCTGACGTACCGGTAGATTTAAAAGGGTTTATCTGCGACCGTGCTTTTGGCGAAGGTCATACGGATCCAATAGACACTTTTTGCTCACGTATTTTACAAAACTCTGAGAGCGGTGCAAGCGGCGAACATCCATTACGGTAAATTATAAACCGTAAAGTTGCCAGAGCATTTTTGCCCGCGTACATCTTCGCTTAACTCCGAATATCAGGCAACGGCAACTTACTCCAGCTTTCCGCACTAAGATCGTGTTAAAAACCATTCCGCAGTGACCGACGGAGATGTCGGTAGGACACCGCACGGAAGCCGCCCTTGAAGGCGTTCCCTTTCGCGTTGTTGACAAGAACAAGCGGTCTCGTTTCCAGCTTTGCGACCTGACCAAACTGATGCTTATCGTTACCCGGCGCAAATCGTTCGCTGCTCCTCATGGCAAAGGAGACGAAGAGTGGCAAGCTGTTGCTGACGAACTCAATGCTGTCGATACGACATCATTCTCGCTAAGGGCATGCCGAGACAAAGTTGCTGCTTTGATCAAGAAGCACAAGCAAGAGTCAGCAGCCAGTCGCCGGGCAAGTGGAGTTGCTGAAGAGCACACGATGCTGAGCGACCTGATTGAAGCTTACTGGCAGTTGAAGTATCAATTTGAAGAGAAGAAGCAAGCTGCCAGCGACGAAGCCAAGCGCAAGCAGAAACGCCTAGCAACAGCTGGGGGTAGTGCCATGAGTAAAGCTGCTCTGAGGTACGTTAGATCGCTGGTAGCTTATGAGGTGGCTCAATCCATACTGCTGTTGCGTTGTGCCTATAGACTAAAGAGACGAAAGATAGCTGCGGTAATGGAAGGTGTACGGCGTACACCTCCAACGTCGGATGAAGACGAAGAGAAAAATGACCAATATTGTCGTCGAGCCACACCTCGCGACCGCGAAGACTATCGTGAAATGGTCGGGAGTGACTACAGCAGCGGAGGCGAGGGCTATGCATTAGAAGTCGAAGAACACAAGCATGAAGAAGATGATGAGCGTATTTGTGTTGACGAAGACATCGAGGAAGAGGAGGAGGAGGAGGAGCCGCCGATTACCAGGAAGCGACTTCGTGTCAGCGAGATATGGGTCAAAGAGGAAGAACGGATGGAAAGGGAGAGGTGCGCTCAAGCAGCAAGAGACCGGGACCTTACCCGAGTTGTCGAAGGCTTGTCCAACCAAACCAAAATGCTCGTTGATTTTTTGGTGAGCAGCAACACACCTCGAACCAACCGCCAGTAGCTTGCTGCAACCTCTCCTATCGCGACTTCATGTTGCGCAGTTTTTGATTTTTTTTAAGCGTGGGCGTCACCACAGCGGCCACTATCCGACGATTAATTCATCGATTTTGAAATAGTTAATTTTCGCTCCCACTGTAATTCAAGTGCCTTGCACTAATGGTCCGCTAGTTAGTCAGCCGTGCACGCAAAAAACTCCTGAAAATTGGGTGGCGGCACGTCAAAGTAGCTGCTAATGACATTTTGGTGCCTCGCAATCGTCACACAATTTGTCAAGATAGTTGCAACCTGGTAAAGCATTCCGACAGGAACGTTTCCAATACTCATCTTCTTTTTGAAGTCCAGCATTGCCCACTCGCTAATAATTTGGCCAAAGCCCCATCCCACAGCAATTCGAACCGAGCTCATCGAAGCGTTCACAGCGCTTTCTTCACGT